TGAACTTTTGTCTGTTTTCTGTCAGTTTAACGACCAAATTAATTTGATCTCATCAGCTGTAGCTTCACAGGGGAGGATTTGTGGGTTTTGGTGATAATAATTGGCAGCAAATGGAATAGATTCATGTTTTTCAGACATTCATTCATGTAAAAAATAAATCATAATTTCTTTTACATGATCCAACGATGTGAAACGTGCCGGCTGCTGCAGAGCTGTGACGGAAATCATAAAGCTATATCCAAATCAGGATTTTACAGAGAACCAGGCAGTAATGATGCAGAAATACAGACAAAGTAAAATGTTTTCAGTTTTATGTATAAAGCCAAAGATCAGAGAGACTCGTGCATGTGATAACACATCCTGCAGCAGAATCGATGCAGGCTTATGTTTGGACGTCGTCTCTGTGACACTGAAGTCTCCGTCCTCTGTGATGGACTGAATCAAATAACTGCTTTGATTAAAAAAAAAAATCTGCTATTTCACACATCAGCAAGTCAATCAGCAACCTGCAGGACTAAAAACTTACAGCAGTTCATGACTGCCAATAACTGCAGTTCCTCTAATGTCCACTAGAGGCCACATGTTAGAACATCTGACTTCACAGCAGAATCAAACATTTACAGGTTTACAAGCTGCTAAACAGCTACTTTCCCCCCTTCATGGTAACTGTGTACTGCTGCTAGCTTCATCTCTGAACTGCTTCTTTTTAATGCACTTATCTTACCAATAGCATGGCTGCTGTGAGGGTACACACACAGTCCTTCCTAACATTTCATCACTTTGTTACTTGGCAAACATTAGCAGGAATCTCTGTACCCACTTTATGGAAGCAGCTTGCTAACTGGGCTAGCTAGTATTAGCATTTACCTTAGCGCGCCGCCCTGTTGTCCATATATCCTAACCGGGTTGCAAAAACACTGAGCCCTCAAAACACAGAATCCAGAAACCAGTGGCTGATGTCACAGTAACAACTTCCATTTTTTATATACAGTCTGTGTTGTTGCACCCACAGCTGCCAGATTTCCTCACTGGACTCTTGCTGCTGTGATCCTCTGTGGTCTCGGGGAAGCTTTTGGCCAAAGCATGTAGATGTACTTCCTGATGTTCCTGATCTTTCATCATTCTGTTAGCACAAATGTTAAAGTTTCACAAAGTCAAACCCGTTTCCTGTTTCTGAGACCTGAGATCACTCATGTATGTCTGAAGGTAATAGTATTATAGATATTAACTAGGTAATAGTAGTTTCTGGAGTTGCACCCCTGCTTGCTGGTTTGAAGCCAGAAGAACATTTATAGGGTTTATAAGAT